CTGAGCACATTCTTCTCCTGCTTGAAACCTGTCAAAGGCTTTGCTTTGTACTGAGAACTAATCCAAACTTCTTCCCATGGCTTATGAGGCCCTGTGTGAAGCTCCCTCTGCCCAGCACCCCAAATTCTTCTCATTCCAGCACCCACCTCGCCACACTCCAGACCGTGCCAACACTTTCTCTCCCTGCCCTGGCGCATCGCATTCCCTCTGCCTGGAATGCTCTCTCCAAGCTCTGCCTGTGCTGCCTTCGTTGTCCTCCAGAATGCTCAGCAAGATCTCTGAGCACCCAATCTACAGCACCCCCATTACTCACCCTGCCTGTTGCCTCCAGTATCTGCAACCTGCAAGTATTCCATTTACCTGTTTGCTCACTTGTCTACTGTCTGTCTCCCTCAACCACAGAGCAGATCACACGGAAGGCCTGTCTGCTCATCATTGGATCCCCAGCACCTAGTCTCAGTTCCAGCAAAAACGAATGTTTGTTCGATGAACAAGTTTCAGGAACCATGGGGAGGCACTTTCCACACATTATCAACAAAACAGAAATTATCATCCCTATTTTACGAAGGAGGGAGGTGGTCTCTCTTTAAAGCCATGCAAGCCTGGGGCTGCTGGCGGTCATCATTGCCACCAAGCTTACTGGAGAATGAGGTCAATCTGCAGGAAAGCAAAGCCAAGAGATGGCAAGAGGTGGCCTCTTTGGGGACATCGTTTAAGATTCCATCCAGCCATTCCTAAAGGCCCTCATCATAAGGCAGCTTCCAGGGGAGGACCATGAGGCTCTGAGAGGGGACGAGAACCACCCAAGGTCTGTCTGGCTGCACAAGTGGGACCTGTCCCTTGTGGTGAGCAGGGACCTTGGCGGAGTCCCTTGTGGTGAGCAGGGACCTCGGCGGAGTCCAAGCCGGTCCTCGGCGGAGTCCAAGCTGGCTGTGGGCAAGTCTGCACGGGTCTGGCCAACTGACAGACTGGGAAGACAGAAGCCAATTCCATGAGAGAATGAGGAGTCTGGGAAGGAGGTGGCTAGGAGTACAAGGAGGAGGGGCTGCTAGGACCAGTCTCAGCCCAGGCTCCATGGGATTCTCGTCTAGATCCAATGGAGAAATGAACAACAAAGAGAGACCCAAAAAAGCAGTTTTAACAGCCACACACTCAGGGAGGACAATGGGACCTGTGTGTGCTCAGACCTGCCTCAGTGCTGCATGAGGAATTGAGGTGCCCCCCTCCCCGTAGGGAGGCATATAGGAAGCTTGCAAGGGGCACAAGTGGAACCAGACTTACTGATGAAACAGTCCATGGGGATTCCCGAAAGTCCTGGAGGAGAACTTGGTAGAAGCCTGAAATCTTGCGTGAGTGGGTTGGAGCAAAAGGCACAGCAGTGTGGATTACACGGTTACCGTGAGCAGGTTGATGAGGCCAGGAGAGACACAGTGAGACACTGTTCTCTCTCCCTCCTTGCCTCCAGGGATGCTTCTCCCCCAGGAGATCGCCAATGCTGCCCATGGAGATCATGGAGAGGTCTCCCCAATGGTCTCCTGCTCCTCCTCTCAGGTTCCTGATCTCACCTCCCAAAATCTTGGCCTCCTTTGAAAGGCTCAGTGATATTGGGTCCATTAGTTTAAGGGCACAGCCCACTAGCCCAGAACCCCAGACCCTGGGCTGGAAGGGGTCCAAAGGCCACCCGGGGCCCCACCCCCCACATTCAGGAGAAGGCAAGGCCAGGAGGGGACCACCTACCTCTGTGGCGGTGACCGAAGCTTGGCCAATGCCCTTGTTGACCGAGTGCCAAGACCGGGCGGTCAGCATGCAGGCAAACAAGGGGTAGAGCTCCCCGGCTCCCAGGCGCTGGCTGTACTTCTTCACCTTCTCCATGTCAGTCCAGATCAGCGACTGCCAGAGGTGGCAGTAATCCAGGCGGAACTCGTCTGTGAGCACCTGGGGTGGGGGACCGTGTGGCAGGACCTGAGCCTCCTTCCCCACGGAAGACCTAGCCCCTGGCTGGTGGACACTGCGAAGGGGCACTGATGAAGACTGGAGCTCCTGTGCATCATCCGCCTCTCCCCCAAAGTTCAGCCATCCCCAAGGGTCCAACGTGAAAGCTACCATCTGGCCAGCCTTGGTCCTGAGTGGTGGAGGTCACTAATTGCCCACCAAAATCACATTCCCTGCCTCCCTCCTAGTCAGATGCAGCCCTCTGCCTGAGCTCTGACTGATGCAATGTGGCAGAAGCTCCATGTCCAGCTCCTGAAAACCTTCCCATGCATGCTCCTCCAAGCCCTCACCCCCACTGCTGGAGGATGAGGAGACCACCCCCAGGGAAGCCTGGGGGGCAGAGCCTCGGTCAGGCCCTGCCTTCAGACGCCTCCACCTACCCGCGACAGGTACGTGAACAAGCAATTAGACATCTGTTGTGTCTGGGCCATCATGCATGTGGGGTTGTGTGACAGCAGCTAGCCTACCTTAAACTAATGTACCCAATGTCACTGAGCCTTTCAAAGGAGGCCAAGGTTTTGGGAGGTGAGATCAGGACCCTGAGAGGAGGAGCAGGAGACCATTGGGGAAACCTCTCCAGAACCCTCTGCCATGGACTCAAGATAGACCCTGGATTCTGGCATTGGCAGTGAACTTTGCAACTTCCAAGCAGAAGCTCCTGGCTCATCTGAACCAGATGAGTCTCAAGTTCCAGAGGACAGAGGCTGGGCCCATCCAGCCCCTATCAGCTTCGGGTCCCCTTTCTCACTGCATATTACCTCCTCCCTGGGGCTGAGTGGCCCCCTTCCCCTGAAGTCCCTGCTCAGCGAGGGGCAGCTTACTTCCCAGTGGGCTGACCTGGGCTTCCCGGGGAAGTACAGTGTTCACAGCTGACAAAGCACCTGCACAGACCCAGGCACATCCCCGTCTACTCCCCACAGCAGCCCATGAAGGAGGTGTTACCAACCTCATTTGACTGGAGAGAGCTCATATGATGGGACTTGCACAAAATGACGGCTCCAGGGGCAGGGCAGGGCCTCTCCATCCACCCTGGCTATCTGCTTCCCATGTGTGAGGCCGATCGGGGAGTGCAGTGAGCTCTGATCCCAGGCAGGCCCAGAGCCCCTGGGCTGGCTGGGTGGGAACAGCCTCTCCTACCTGGTAGAGCCCGTGGTCCAGCAGGACGATCTCCGCCTTCCCTGTGTCTGGGCGCTTCCGCACCAGCACGTTGCCGGGGTGCGGGTCACAGTGCACGAAGCCATTGACAAAGATCATCTCGCTGTACATCTTGCCCAGGTGGCATGAGATCTGAAAGAGAAGGGATGTGGGTGGGAGTTATGCCACCTTAACACCTGTCTTGGAGACTTCGACTCTGGCCCCTGAATCCGGTCACTTTCAAGAGGCAGGCCAGAGGCACTGGGTGGGCTTGGGCAGTCATAGTAGGAGTGATGGCCTGGGATCATACAGTTCTTGAGTTTAAGACAGAAGTTCAGTTCTAACCCTGTTCTCCTCAACTTCAGCGGCATGTAGAATCACCTAGAACTCAGAAGTGTTAGAGGTGGGCCCCAGACATCAGCATCTGTTGTCAAGTTCCCAAGGTGATTGTAGTACACAGCAAGGTAGAACCACTGCTTCTAGCATTTCCGAAGGCTGTAACTACCACCCCAACCCCTGACCTCCACTCTTTCCCAATCCTTCTCTTCCCTATTCTCTCAATCTCTTCATTTTCTCCCCAAAGCCGAAGATGGGCTGGAAAGCTGGGGTGGGAGTGGGGTCATCCCAACTTCCCTTTCTCCCAAGAGCAAAGCTGGATGGCTGTGGGTGAGGGATACGTGACCCTGGCACCCCCTAGGGCTGTCCCACCAGCTCCAAGACAGTCCCAGGAGGACCCAGAGTCACAAGCCCTGCTCCCCTCTCTCTCAGGCCCCTTTCCCTTCGCACCTCCGCGCCAGAGCCCAGTGTTAATCTGATTTATGAGGTCTGCACAGAAGAAATGACACTGGAGAGGCCATTTAAATCATCCTGTCACTGCTGCCCTCCCTGCCGAGGCGGTCTTCTTATCTCTACTCCCTTTTAATTAAAGCTAAAAGCCTCTTCCCAACTAGGGAACAGCTGCTGAATAGTGCCAGACTTGGGCCCACAGATGGTCTGCCAATAGGTTTCCAGAGGACAAAGAGATGCTCAATTCACAAAGCTGATCCCCAGGACCCACTCTGCCCTTGACATGGCTCTCAGTCCCTGATGGACCCCATGGTCACTAGCAAACATATCCCAGCCAGAGGAGAGGAGCTGGGTCCCATGGATGGTGGGGGAACACAGAAGTAGGGTCTTTGCTTGGCCTACAAAGCCCTGCACAACCAGGCCCAGCCTCCCTCCCTCATCTCATCTCATGCCACAGTGATACTAAAGCCACCTCTGCTTTCTTTCTCTTCTTCAATGGCCCTGTGCTTTCCTACCTCAGGACCTTTGCACATGATCGTCCCTCTGCCAAGAGCCTTCCTCCCATCTCCCCTTCACCTAGTTCACCCCTCTCTTCCTTCCCATCCCAGCTCAGCATCACCTCTCTGGAGAAGCCTTCCTTGACCTCCTGGCCTAGATGAGGTTCTCCTGCCACAAACTCTCATCGAACTCTGTACTTTTCTTTCATGGTACTAGCACATTATTTGCATCATTATTTGATTAATGACCATGTAGCCCACTATTTTAAGCTCCCAAGATGGCAGAGACTGGTTCTATTTTGTTAAATGGCTTTATTGAGGTGTAATTTACATACCATCAACTGGCTCTATGATGCATCCACTTACCTATAACAGGCCAAACATGTGAATATAGGACTCTACCTTCAATATGAATGAGACCCTTGTCTGTGCTTTTTTGAGATGCTGTGGTTCCTGTCTTGATGCTTATCCTAACCCCATGAATCTCTTCTGAATCCCAATCAGTTATAATTGGTCCCAAAATAAATCTTCAAGAATAACCCTACTATAGCAATAGCTGACATCCTCATGTCAGCTTTAAAAGTAGGTACAATTATGATCCCCATTTTGCAGATAAGGAGCTGTGACTCCTCGAGGTTCAACTTACACAGAGCCACAGGGCTACCGACAGGCAGAGCCAAGATTCAAGCTAGGTATGACCCCATGGCCTCCTAGCAGCCACGCTACCTACAGGCTCACGCCAACCTCTCCACTTCCCAAGTGAACAGTGTGACCTTAACAAGTTGCTTCTCTCAGCTTTAGGAAAGGGGTTGTCTGAGTCCTGACACCTATCCGATGTTGCACTGGGTGAAATGAATGCCCAGTACTCTGCGGGCACTTGGAGGACCTCGCCCCAGGTCGAGTTCTCAGCCTCAGGCTGAGATGTCAGCTGCCCCAGGGCCACCATTTTCTGTTTCCTCGGACAGGGGCCCAGCTAGAGTTCGTCCTGGCTGAGCCAGCAAGTCCCCTTTTGAGAAGCCCTTTTGTTCGGCTCTTCGGAGCTCCATGGAGCCATGCTCTGAAAGGCTGCATTTGCCAAACCAATTGCATTTATTAAGTAATAATTCATTTTTATTTGTCAAGGACGCATATAAGGTCCAATCAGGGCTCCTGATCAGCCCAAGATAAGCAGTACAGCCAGACTGAGCTGACAGAATGCCAGCCAACAGCAGAGAAATGACATTTCATTTAGTCTGGGCAGACCTGTCATGGGGAGATATATGATCTCCTCTGAGCTTTCTGCAATATTGCTAATCGCTCTGGGCCCCCATTACTACATTGAAAGATGACCCCTAAGGGTCTGGGGACTCAGGATGGGGGAGCCCTTGCCCACAAGGAGTGAGCTGCTGCTAGAGGAGGAAGAGGGGCTGCCAATTGTAGCTCATATATACACAAGCAAAGCCATCAAGTGGCCCTCCCCATTTCAACACCCCATCCAGCTGCTCCTACTTGGGTGTCTTACAGTTTGGGAGCTGTTCACTTTAACCAGATTTCACCAACATAGATAGATATGGAAGGCACAGACAAGACAGAAAACCAGCCTAGGCCACCAGCTTCACTCTGGTGCCATCTTGGTATGGCCACCTAGGACATGCCTGATCTGGGGGACAAGTCACCTCCCTTCTCAGTCTGGGTCTAAGTTCCCTTAGCTGTTAAGTGGGATTAATTCCATCTGCTCTACTTCCTCACAAGGTAACCTCGACATTCAAGGTCAAAACGTGACCACACCTGAGAAAGCACTTTATATACTATATACTATATAGGCTATATATTATATACTATACTATACACTATATACTATATAGGCTATATATTACATACTATACTATACACTACATACTATATAGGCTATATATTACATACTATACTACACACTATATAGGCTATATAGTATATACTATACTATATACTACATACTATATAGGCTATATATTATATACTATACTATATACTATATAGGCTATATATTATATACTATATACTATATACTATATACTATAAATTGCTTATATTACTATATAAGACACACAAATGTGTGTGTTGTAATGTGGTAGCTTATTATTTAAAACGTGGGGGAAAAAATGTACCCATTATCACTTTCATCAAAGTGTAATTTTCAAAAAGTTAAAAACATAACTCATAAAAATACAAAATGAACACATGTCAAAGATTGTTTAATTTACCAATAAAGGAGCAAATAAGAAGGGAGAGCTGGTTCAGAGAATTTTGAGGGACTGTGTATTTATGGGAATTTAAACAGGAATAAGAGACTAAGATTCCTGGATTAGATATAAAACTGGTTATTGTCCTACAGAGCAATAAGGAAATCATAACCTTTGAGGTTATCTTTTCTACTGGGCAGAAATTATTTGCATCTCTACCAGATAAGATCTACAGGTTGACGTATGACTTCAGTCTGAGCCCTTAATTAATTGTCAATAGCAGAGTCAAACACAAGTACATTCCCCTAGATATTAAAAAGCCCTCGGTGTGCTGCCTGAACAATGCCCAAGAATGACTTCGAAAGGATACACCGCACACTCTTGGCCTTAATTTCTAAATTTTGGGTAATTTTTCTTCACATCTGTCAGAGTTGCAGTAAATACTTTCTGGGAACCAATCTGCCCAGAGAAGGCAGCCAGCCCCCTCCTACTCACGGAGATCCCGAGAATCCCAGATGAAACCCAAGGCCATCACTGGGCACACAACCCTCTTTCCCACCCCCTTGCCATAATAGTTTAGCTATGTCTCGTGATTAAGAGCAAACAATTGTAAATACTGTAATGAACATGGGGATGCATGTATCTCTACCAGATACTGATTTCATTACCTTCAGATATATACCCAGAAGGAACTGCTGACTCATACGGTAGTACCGTTTGTAATTTCTGGAGGAACCTTCACACTACTTTCCACAGTGGCTGCATCAGTTTGCCTTCCCACCAAGAATGCATGAGCATTCTCTTTTTTCCACATCCTCGCCAACACTTTTCTCTCTTAGCTTCCCTGAGGACCATTCTAACAGGGGTGAGGTGATATCTCCTTGGGGTTTAGATTTGTATTTCACTGACAATATGTGATGCTGAGCAGCTCTTCATGTACCTCTTGGCTCCTTGCATGTCTTCTTTGGGAAAATGTCTGTTCCATTCCTCTAAAGCTGTCCCTTGCCCTGTGACAGTAGCATCTGCATCAAGACAGGGGGATGCCACCATTTTAGAATGGTATTAGCCAACACTCTGGGGCAGGCACCATTCTGGGCACTTGCCATGGACTCACAGCCATCCTCTGCAGTAGACAGCTGAAGGAAGAAATAGAAAAAGGCAAAGAAGCTTGGTCACCCAGCTAGCAGTGAGTGAAACCGGGCTCCAAACCCAGGTGGCCTGGGTTCAGTGAACAAGCTGTCAATCACCTGCTCTCTCCTGCCTCTGCATGGACAGGGAAGCTCCCGCCTGAAGGCAAGGGCTGAAGTGAAACCCTCTGAAGGTCCAAAGGGCATCCAAGAAGGCATTCCATTTGGAGAAAAGAGTCTCAGAGGGAAATCCAGGACTGCTTCTCTAACCAAAAAACTCATTGTTAACTAAAGCCACAGTATAGCTCTTTTTAGAAAAAAAGTCAGTGACAAGTCTTTTCCTTGTTCTGTGTAAAAAGAATGTGCCATTCATGTAAGTGACTTTAGTAAATACGCAATGCCTTTATTCCCTGACAGTGAGGAGGTACAAAAAAAAAAAAAAAAAAACAGGAATCTATAAAAAGGTTGAGTAAAGAATTAATTTAGTAAATAATATTTAAACCAAGGAGCTATTTTTGGATTTTTCTCAAAACTTGAATTGG